TTAACTACACATTTTTCATCAATCTGCTATTTAATAATACATTCTTTCAAAAGAATGTGTCCCAAACATACTCTTAGGACAAAATATTCTATTAAGTAAATAATGTAGAAATAATTGCTATGATGGAAACTAAAATCACGGTTAATACTAAGCCTTTGGCCAATGCATTTCTCAATGAGAGGCAGCTTCGAAAGCAAAAGCACTTAATTCATACATGAAAATCAACTGGTGTATGTTAATCCCAAATCTTTCTTCAAAAAAGTGCTTTTTATTTTAAGTAACGCATAAAGGATCAATAAGAATAACAAAGATCTAAAAGAAGATTAGCCCAGCATTGAATTCATCACATAACAAGAAGTCACAAACAACACATAATTCTCATGAAGAACATACAATTGAAACTTATTATACCTTCCAGACACTGCGGCGTTGAAAGTGAACGCAACGAGGAATTTTCCAGGATTCGCCTCATCTGGCTCTATTCTTAAGGTCTCCTTCTTCAAACCAACAACGTTGCGAATGGTTATTGCCTTCTGGGGTTCCTCGTAGGGCTGGAGAGGCTGCATTGTGAGCCCAGACAGGTGCTGTCCGTTAACCCAATTGGGATTGGCCTCCGCATGTAGAGGAACTGGGTAAGGAGGAGTATTGATTTGGGTACTTCGATGACGAATAAGGTGTTGCAGCTGCAAAAATGTTTACGGTGATCTCCGGTTGAGCAACCTGAGCTGGCGGGTGGCTCAGCCAACTCGAGCTCCTCCTCCGTCCATGCACCCTACTACTTCCAATATTACCCAAAAATAAAATCACTTTTTCCCTCACAATATGGAAATTGCGAAATATTGGAGACAATATTGTCATGAACTTGTTCAACAAAGAATTAATTTGCTACTTGAAGATCGTCCTAGTTATGGCCACTATTTACTGAGGCTCAACTGAAATGAATCAAATCAAACAGTCATTCTCTTGTCTATCCTCGACTATGTTTCCATTTTCAATTCTAGTATTGAGCAAAAAATTATTCGTATTTTTGTGTAGTTTGCTAGTGTTGCTAATTTTGATGATTTTGGACCAGAGCAATTTCGATTGGAAATAAATATTTTAAAAAACTTCTCAACTGTTTCTCTTTATTCATAGTTTTTTTTTTCCTGTAATGGATCATATTCTCTTTTAAAGAAGCGATGTTTCTTTATTAGTTTTTAGGATTTAGATTAGGACAAAGTGCTGTACACATTTTGGTTTGTTATAAGCTAGGGTGTCTTCCGATGACGACAAACAGTCAATTAATCGGTAAGTGTTAATGCTACGTAACATCATGCATGCTAAAATATCAATCTACATGGCATGTAAGCGATAAGTCCAATTTAGGGTGTGTTTGAGCTACATTATTTTGGAAAAATATATTTTAGAATAGTAGATTGATGGAGAATGTGTGGTTGAAAAATAAGGAAAAATTATTGATGTGATAGAAAATATTATTTTATTGTAGAATGTGTAGTTAAAAATGAGTAGAAAAACGAAAATA